AACTTCTACTTGTGCTATGAGAAATAATATTAACGAGTGAAACGTAACCTCACTTCCTCTTTTATATTTGAAACCAAATAAAACAACTTTTTTCCTAGAATAAAATAAACCCACCAATCAGTCTTTTAACACCACCATACTTGGACGAATTTAAGTAACACCTTAAATAATTGTTTAAAAATAACTGGAAAAATAAATATAGAGATATTAATCTATTTCTCTCTAATTAGAATTTTGGATGCGATTCTCCACCATATTATCAAGGCGACACAAACATTGTTTACTAATATTAATTTATCTATGGTCCTCTGTACTACTCTGAGAGTACAATAGTCGCTGTAGTCAACCGACATTACACATTGGTGTATTTCAGCCATACTCAACCTGCGGCCCTCAAAGCTTTCTTGTGCGGCCCCAAACACTATATTATTAGGAAGGTGCTAATACAAAACTGCCATTAAAATGTGTGATATTTAATGATTAAAAAAAAATTCCAGTTCATTTAAAATACTGCCTATACCTACTGGCTCTTGTGTTATCAGAGTTCTAAAATAGCAATTTCGTGAATAAAATGTTGGTATCAGGACAACAGAAGACCGAGAATAGGTGTAGGAGGTATTTTAAAAAGGGAGGGAAAATTAAGTTCCTTAAACAAATTTCCATTATTACTGGTAACGCAAAATTGATGGAATTTTGTACTTAAATTACTAAACAGCTCAAGATATAGACGAGTAGCAAAGAGCAGTCTATCTATCCAGCTCTACACAGTTGTGTGAATTTCCATAGTTTCTTTAAAAACTTTATATGAACCGTACATTAGGGCCTGTTGAAAAACCACATGAAAATCCATGCATGATCTAAGTTATAATTATGTAGCGGTCTAACGCGCTTATATTCATTTATAAGCAAGTTTATGTGTCAGAGACTGCTGGGCTTCGAATCCCAGACCAGACCATGTGGATTTTTAATTAAATTTCATGGTTCGGTATAGGATTTGATGTGTGCCGTATTAATAGAAATTCAATTTCTGTTGATATGACATGCAGATTATAAAAAATCGCCCTACATTACCGTCTCGATGATGGTGGGTGAGGTTTTCCTCACCTGTAAGTCAAATGGCACCATTAATCATCTTTAAGTCGCCCCTGAGCGCCACGGCAAATAATAATAATAGGCGTCCCTTTCCCCGCACAAGCTCAGCTTTTGGGGTTAAAATTCACTCGTAAAGGGGTGAATTAGGGAGAGTATTATTATTTATTATTATTATTATAATAAAGAAAACTACTATTTTTATAATAAATGTTTTTATTGAATAGACTTTCAATACAAATAGATTAAATAATCAACAAAATAAAACTATATACAAAAATATCAATATATAATTTCGATTTTAGTTAAATAGATTAAAAATATTTAAAATGTAGATGCTTAGTGAAGCAAGACGATAAAAATTTCGCTTACAAGTTATGCCCTAAGCGTCGAACATTAAGGAAATCGTATTGAAGACTATTTAAAAAATGTTCTAGCTACAAATCTTTATTTAGGTACATCATACATTCTCACATTTAGTATCATCATCAGTACTTTTCAAGATAATATTCAAAGATTGTGGTATTGACAGTTGCGAAATTATGTGCAACAAATTATTGAATTTTTACGGGATACATTACAGGCAACATTTTTCATTTTATAGCGGAAATCGATTTTATTTGACAAAGAAAAAATTTAAATATAAGGTATCTATTAATTATAGGATATGCAGTATTAATTTTTCATTATTCTGAAATAATTAAAAAATAAGACTCGACTTGAAAGTAAGGCTTATGGTCAGGTAATAGACAAACACAGCAAGTACAATACGGCAGAAATAGCATACCAATGACGAAAAACTACTAGACTATATATTAAATTGATTCGTAATTAAGCCCTTATTTGCAAGGATTCAGATTATGTTGGACAGACATAGCTGACGCATCGGCTGCCGCATTAGAAATAACGAGTCGGCTGCTAAATCGCGTGGGGATGGTTTGAGCGAGTTTGTTTATCTGAGGCGCGAAAACGCGTTTTATGAATGAACCAGCTCGTACAACTACTGCATTACACTGTTGCCACACTAAAATAAATGGTGTACTTTCTGTAAATTACCTTCATCAACCAGAAAACGACATTAAACTGATAATAACTGATTCTGTATATCTGTAACATGCAACATGTGGAAGGTGGGTTACCTCACTAGGCCCATTGTGCATCCTCCTAAGATGATAAGCTCCTCCTAGCTCGTGAGCCAGCCTACAGATTTAATGTAGTTGACAACGTCGCTAAGAAGTGCTTCCTCACTGAACACAAATCTTTTAATGAATGAGTGTGTCGAGCAATCGTAGAGGATATGCTTGATGGTCTCATCTTCTTGTTCGCACCCCCTGTAGACTGCGGATTCTGACAGCCCCATGATATGGAGATGCTTCCGTACTTGGTTGGCAATGACCAGTCAGAATGCCTGTAACCAGGCGCAGATTCTGTCTAGTCATAGTCAAGTTTACTGTAGTGTTGTCAGAATAACTTAAAAGCTCCCTGGCAACTCTGCAGTTTCTTGATTCATCCCATCTTGCCTTGAATTTAACAAGGGAATGTTATTTAATTATGTCTGTCGCAGACCTAATAACTGACATTACGAATGCAAATATACTCCCTTAATGTAATTTTTAAAGTGTTTTGTGCAGATTAGACCCTTATGTTGTTAATTTCGAATTATAACATCAAACAATCCTTGCAACAAGTCTCCCATACGTGGATAATGCCGCAAATGCTTGCAATTCAGTTTTTGCAAAACAAAAGTCATCTGGTAGTTGTTTGTCGTTGATTCATATTAATTTTATCTATTTGTCAAATACTATAATACTTCCTTAAAACGACGACAACCAACTTCGATTCAAATAAATAAATCTAGAAAACAGGGCACTGTCACTACATAGAAATGCTGACAAAGTACCAGACCTAAATATAGTATCTATTTTATTTGCAGAGTAATGAACAGTTCTTCTTTTAAGAGGGTATTTTTTTAATGTTAAATTATTAGACATTTTGATGTATAAAATATTATATAGTTAGAATTGTGGCAAAGGTCTACTCTGTGGTACTAGTTCAAAATGAACTTTTCATATAGAATCACCTCGACTGGTCCACTGACTAATTTTGGTAGTTTTCTGTTATCATAATCTTAAAGGTTGGTTGTATACGCTCTGGGAAATGTTATTTTCTGAATACCTACACTACCAAAATTCCAATTTTTAACATTCAGATTATTGCAAATATCTAGTTTTTTACGACCACTTATTTTACTTTCAGACCTGATTAAAACTCATATTAGTTACCGTAGAAATGTTATCAACTTATTGTATCTTATGAGTTTGTCTTATGTCATGTATATGTTACAAAAAGATCAATATATTTATCTATCTAGGTATCTATCTATAAAATCGATTTATAGGACTTGAATTTCGAGTTTTTATTGCTATGTCAGTATTGTATTATTTGACAAATAAGTAAAATTATTGTTTTTGTCTATTTTTTTTAGTATCGTTAATACAGTTTGTTTTAAAATGGTGAATTTGTAGATATTTCCTATAAAAATTGGTCTATTTTTAATCTCCTACAAACCCTTTACATTTGTGTAAATGTATCACTTTTTATTCTGTAAGTACTGTTACTTAAATACAAAATAACTAATTTTAAATAGTTTTGGAATATATTTGGCAAGGATCTGTTACGAAATAGCACTGAACGAAATAGCGTGTGTCAAAAGAGCGCCTAAACAAAATAGCGTCAGTCAAAATAGGGTGATTTTTTTACATAAAATGATTAAATAGAAACTAAACAATTTACCTAACCTGTGCGGCCTGGAGTCATCGCGGGTTGCGTCGCCTCAAAATTATGCATAAAATTAAAAAGTAAAATAAAAAATACTTATTACCTAAGCTGTGAGTGAAAGATCAGTTAAATTTTCGGTTTCAGGCCGCACAGGTTATGTAGATCGGTTGTTTTTTAATTGTGTTTAATTTTTTTTTGCGAAGCAGCCCGCATGGGTCCAGGCCGCACAGGTTAGGTAAATTATTAAGTTTTTTAATCAATTTATGTAAAACACGCTATTAAACGCACCGTTTTATTCGGCGCAATTTTGTGACAGAGACATTTTGGACTGATGCTGTTTCAATACTCACTATTTCAAAAGAAGCCATTTTATTAAGGCGCTGTTCGTCAGAATGCTGTTTTGACTAGCGCTATTTTAATAAATGCTATTTGGATCAGACAGTTTTGATATGGGCTATTTTGAGTAGACACTATTTCGTTCTGACGCTATTTCGAAACATGCCATTTTGATAAGACTTTCAAACAATAACGCTATTGTGATAAGCGCTATTTCGTGACAGAGTCGTTTGGCAATAGTAATTAAAATTTATAATTATGTATGTATTCATTACAATTAAAAGAATTATAAATACTAGAAATAAACTTTGGTAACACTTGATTTTTTTACTAAATTCACTAACTTTCAATACTCGATATCAATAATTACACATACTTGTATATTATTAGAAATAATGTAATTAATTGCCTTGTTTGATTCATTCACATGCATATTTAGAACACCATACATTTATCAGATCAAAGTTTTACGGTAACTATCCATGTTTAGACAAAAAAAAAACTTGATCACTTTTCCTAACATGCGTCTGTCAAAACGCAATTTTTAACTTTCTTTTGGTTTTTTAAAAAATCCTTAAATGTACTTCCAAAGTTTTGCTCCTCTCTCCTGAAACTTAACTATGATTGATAGGCCATGTGTGCAAGTCCAGGGAGTAGTTTAAATATCTTCGTCTGTCTACAATTAACAAGGAACAATTTTTTTTAAATATTTATGGATTTATTAGATAGAATAGCTGATCAAGCCAATTTAGTTTATCCATAACAGCAAAAAAAATTTATATCACCGTTTTTCTAAATTATAATTTTTTTGCTCCCAATTTCATAGGCCCTCCTGTTGTCGAGGTTCTGCTAGACCTTCTAGCTTCTAATTCCTTCTGTCTCATTAATTTCCTTTCTTCTCGTTTTTTCCTAGCTTCTTCGAGTTTTGGATTTGTTAATCCAGGATTTTCTTCTAATGGTTCAAATTCGGGGTCATCCCAATTATGGCCTGATTGATTGTGTCTGTGGTTTATGTGAGACTGCGACCAAGTACTGTTGGTTTTGTGGTCTGGAAGAATGGGAGCAGTGTCTCCTGCGGGGCTCCAGGCTTCAGAGGGAGATGTTAGTTCAACTTCTTGTTCCTTTATTAAAAATATATAAGCTTTGTAGATATTTGAAAAATGATAAATTAGCCGTTTTCTTTGAAACAGAAATAAAAACTAGTAAACGTATTTAAACGTACAACACTTACTGGTTCTTCATCTAGACTACCCCATTCTTCATTTTCCCAGCCGTCAGTAACTTTTGTGGCTGGACCGGATCCAGAAGGGGGACTTATGGGGTCACTACTACCAGCACATCCGCTACCACTGCTACTTGCCATCTGTCCGCCAGTCTATTAAAAATATATGAATCATATACATTAAAAAAATAAAATTATAGAAAATTCATTTTTAATTATGTTAATTTTTTATAGACTTTAAACCCTTCCAGGTTGATAGAGAAATTTAAATTTTTAATAAAAACCTAAAATTACCTCCATGTCTCCCCAATTATCGTTATCATCCCAATGATTATAGTCATAATCAGAAACAGACTCGTTGCCGCGGCTACCATCTTCATGTTCAAGAGATGTCATTGAAGTAACACTTGATGTGGTTGTAGATATACTGCTACTTGAAGGTTGTTCTAAAAAAAATGCACCTTGCAATTTAATTTTATATTAAAAAAATCATCTCATAATAATTAAGTTGTTCACAACGAACATCGGGACACATAGGAAAATTAAAAAAAAATGTGGGGACATCTAAGACACCTCCGGCGACGTTATTGCAAGACTATGACGAGCTGGATTTATAGTTGTTTTTTTTTTTAACTATTTTTATCACGTTTTCGCCGATTTTTCTAAGAAAATAAAAAATTAAGGTCATCTGAAACTTTTTTTAATTATTCCTACTTGTTTTTAAAATTAAAGTATATACAGGGTATCCCAAAATTGCTGGGACACAGAGCTACCACGTGTAGTAGAAGTCAATTGGACCCAATCTATTTATATACCAAAATGTACCGTTTGCCTGTGAGAAGAGTTCAAAGTTTACATAAAAAAACACATTTTTGTATGCTGTTCAGAAACGAGCAAAACAAAATAAATAAAAATTGACAAAAGTGCATTTTAGAGGATTTTTCTCCTTTCGGTATTTAAAGAAACCCAAAAGAAATTGTAGAAGGGTTAAAACCACTCTCCCACCCTGACATTTTTTTTTAGAACTTTCTTAAGGGTGGTAATACGTTTCTCAAGTGTTTTTATCGAGAAGACTGATTAATTATCTTCATTTCGTATTCCGCATAGTTCCAAAGGAAAAAAATATTTTCTTAAATAAAAGCTAACAGATATTCCTAGTACAAGTTTAATAAAATTGTAATACAAAATTTCAATTTCAATTTTTTACGTCGAATTGACCTTTGTATCGATGAAGGTGGCCGTCATATTGAACATTTATTATAAAAAACGTTTTGACTTTGTTTCCACTGCCAACTAAATTTTGTATTACAATTTTATTAAACCTGTATAGGAATATCTGTTAGCTATCTACTAGATCAAAGTCTAAGATTATACCAAGCATTATTTTCGTGGCCACCCTGTATAAATATCACTCATTTTGTATAACTTATGTGACAATTGAGTAGATATTTAGTAGAATACCACTGTTTCGTATTTAATTAACACTTACCTAAAGATCCAGGTTTGCTAAGCATCTTAGCTCCAATGGGGTTCATGGATTTGACTGTATCCGACTGGCTTCTATAAAACTTAGCAGTAACAGCAGTGACAGCCCAACCAGCCCATGTAGCAGCTGCATTACTTAAACTAGGTGTAGCGGTATTAACGTCAGCCTCTAAATTAACAAAAAAAAGAACATAATTTCCAACATTTTCTTCTAATATAATATAAAATATTCGTAAATATGCACAATTATTTGATTATAAAGACAATCTATGAAACAAAGACTCCTAAACACCCTAAACTTACCCATACTTTCTCTTAAACTTGGATCTTCAGATACCTTTTCTAATTTTCCTAGAAAACCTTTAATAGTGCGAAAAACTGAATCTCTAACAACTTTTTCGGGATCCATTGTCGTTTGACATAGCGCTGGCAGTATTCGAGATGATACTTCAGACAAGAGATAGTATTGTTGGGTGGCTGCTAAAGCTAACACACCTAAAAATTCAGTAATTTTCTTTTTAAATTACCATTAATCAATACTTTTCTTTTCTACTAGTAGTATAACTACTATTTACATTCAATACTTGGCTATTGAAAAAATATTATAAATTATTCATAAAAATGTATATTTTTAATATTTTTACCTGCATTTCTTGCTGGAGGAAAAGGATCTCTCATGGCTCTTGTAAAAGCAGAAATAAGAACTTTCTGCCTTATTTGTGGATGCAAATGTTGAGCTATTTTACCTAGGCACACAGTAGTATTTGTTCGTATACCACCCTGATCATCTTTCGCTTGTAGTCTAGCAAAGTGTCGTAGCACTTCCACATTTAGGTTATTATAACTTAATTTAGGTGCTAGGTGTATCACAGACTAGAAATTATAGAAAAAACCTTAATTACATTATCTATTTTACAAATTTCATATGTATCTAATTAATTTATTGTAAAATGGAAACAGTCATGACTTACTTTAACAGTCTGTTCTCTAATTGTGGGATTTGTATCCATAAATCCATGAGCAACTTGTGGAAAAATTTGATCGTTGACTGTACTTGACTGTAGATGTCCTATAAAATGTTCCAGCTGTTGTAAAAGTCTTGATCTTGTTGCTCTATCATTACTGCCAAACAATTTTACTACACATGGTACTATCTTTTTTTGATATTCTGCTTCATCAAGCAAGCGTCCAAGCTACAAAATACAAACTCGCTTTTCAATTTGTATTTATTAGCTCTTTTATTTCTGCATATATCAGTAGTTTAAATCCGAAGGTCAAAATAGTAGATATCTTGAGTGCCATTATGGAAAAGAAGAGAACACTTGTTCAAGATTCAAATAATAAAATTTAGAATTTACCTTAAACATGGGTGCCAGCACTGCAGACCCTGCATCTCCATACTCAAAGGCAGTTATCAGTTGTGGCAATATCTTATGTTTACAAACATTATCTGGAAAATTATCCAGATGTGGAGTTAAATTAGAGAAAAACCGATTTTTCTCGTTTTTATCTTTTATTTGGATTTCTTCGAGGAAGAGCAATGTGTCAACTAGGTCATTTTTGAAATAACCTCCCAGCTTTCTACACCTAGTGATTACATCAGCTGGATTAGGCCTTGATCCAGGGTTTGTGTTTAATAATTCAAAATATAATGGACCTAATTGTTTGGGTATCTAAAATATATTTATAAATTTATTTATATTTATTGAATTAGATTTCTACATTTTTTTTTTTAATTTTGGAATATTTTCTATGTATGCAAATATAGTGTCTTAATATTTCAATTGTGGAAAAACTACTGGTCTACCAAAATATTCAAATATCATAACAAAATAGTATATTCTGTAACAAGGTTGGAATGAAAATTCGATATGGAATGAAAATTCGATATGGATGGAAAATTTTAAACGCGAGCGTAAGAGAGCATGAAGAACCACAAGTATCAGATTTTTATTCCAACAGACTGTACTTTCTCCACGATTACAGACACAGTAGGAGTTGAATACAGTAAAATGAAACTTTGAACAAAATGAAATATTTAATCTAATTTATGTTAGGAAAGTTTTTATTTAAATTATGTGCATAATTTGTCAGTTTAGGAGGAATATTATAAAATTCCATATAAGAATCATTATATTCACCAATTTTTAAATTTAAGTTCGACTTAATAACCGCCTCTTATCTTTATTCAGGCAAATTCAAACTAAATACTAATACTTCGCTTAGAATTGTCAGTCATGAAATTCATGATTATCTACAATGCGGGCGTGGTATTCGCAGCCATTGGCCAGTAACTATTATATAATGAACATTCTGTCTCTAGAGTTAGAATGAAATACGTGTAAAATACATATAAGAGGTAAGTGTTTCAGAATTTTCTTTCAATCTCAAGAGCAGGAATATTTTTTTACTGTTATTTTTTTTGTGTGTCATTGGCTCCAACTTCTAAGGTTATTTCGCCTAGTGTTCTGTGTAGGCTTTGTTACTGTTTCTCAGCGCCACTTTAGGAACAGCACTGTTAATTAGAACCCAACAGTGAATGGTCGAGTGGGGAATCCTACCAAGGCATCAGAATTAATTTTTAATAAATAAATTAAATAAAAAAATCCCGGCCAACGGTGGGATTCGAACCTGGGACCCTTGGATCCACAGGCAGAGACTACCACTGAGCCACCCACCCCTTCTTTACTGTTATTATAAGTGGTTTCGAAAGAACTACATTTTTTTGAAAATTTTAAATCTCAAAACCCTTTTTTAAGTACGTTCAAATTTAACTTAGAATTTCGCCATAACATCTTATGGAAACGCCTAGTTGAAAATCGTTCTTCATCCATAAATCTAGGGGTGTCTAGAAATATTGCATACCATCAGTTAAATTTCAATTCTTTTTTATTAGGACTGTAAAAGATGACGGAACAATCGGTTCATGTTTCTGTTGCGCAACGAATTATTATAAAATTTATTTGCAATGAAAATGTTAAATCGACTGAAAGACTTCGCCAACAATATGGAGAATATACTTGGGCATTACCCAAGTATTTCAACTTTTATCCGGGATAGTTAAGGTCGCTTTTTGATCAAAAAGATGGACCAGTCGATCAGAGGCGTGAATCTTCTCAATGGTAACTCCCGACTACATAGCTCGCAATTGACTCGAAACACCCTTTTCAAATTGCGTTGGGAAACATTACTTCACCCTCCCTATAGCCCTAATGACAAGTACGATTTTAATTTGTTTTGACATATTGGTGCAAAACTGGCTTGATAAAACCCTTTTTTTAAAAAACGTATTATGAAGCTCACAAGAAGATGGCAAAGGTGTATAAAGTTAGATGGAGAGTATGCCGAAAAGTAGTATGTTGTTTTATGACAGTTTTGATTCAATAAAGATTACAAACAAAATTTCGGATTAAATTTGAACCTCCCTCATACAATATGTTAAAATGTAAATTATAGAATAAACAACAAATTATATTTTTACAATTGCATATACATTCAACTCAAAAATTGCAGGAAAATCAGTAGATGAACTAAGAGAGTTCTGTCGCAGTACTTCAAAATCCACCGCTAAATGGCGCTACCTGGCAATAGTGATAATCTAAACTCCGGTAAGTGATTTGCGACTTAGTTAAGTCAACTTCATCTGTCATTTCATTAGTCAAGCCACTCGTCGCTTCATCCGTTAAGACACATGTCACTTCATAACGAAAAAACACTAATACATTGCGCCTCTCACTATGCTGTCTACTCTATTGCATTATCTCTTTATAAAATCCTACCTTGCACATGCGGATCTATTACTGATTTACTATTTTGAGTGGGTCAAAAAATATTGATCTTGATGTCAAAACAGTAATCTATTAGTTTCCGAACACGGATAGGGGTAGTAACCACAGGTAAACCAAATAGGATCCATAATCTTTCTGATCCGAGTAAGTTTCCCAAAACACCTATTCAATGTGTTTATTGAAACATAAAAGTAACAAGTAGGTAAATATATTTTATTTAAAATATTTTTGCAACTTCTTAACATTAAGAAAACACTTTAGTTTAGTAACTAAAAGTTACTCAAAACAATGGATACTTCCATTTGAGTATTAAAAACACTATATACTCTAGTGTCTTTTTGGAAATGTTATTATGCAGGTTTTTTCCGTTAAACATTATGTCAATTTGATATTTCAGATCAGTCCGCTTTCTCTATTCAAATAATAACGAAGTTTGTTATACTCTGTTTTTAAACTAGGAGGAGCGAATTGAAAAGACGCATTTACACAGGGAAAAGTAACTAGATTCGTTACTAAGAGCGTGTTCCGAAATATAGTCGTGTTCAAAACTTATGTAATAGGTGTTATTATCAGCCCTAATTGACGAACGGCCAATAAGGGGTTAAGGAACAAATAAATGTCATAGGAGTCGATTTTTTTTATTGGTTCCAGACTACGGTTGTAAATTTCATATTATTGTTATCTGAAAAGTGTGTCTGTCCAAAACGAACTGTCACTGTCATATGAAATTTAATATGGTCCTTGATTTGTTGACGTTATCAGAACTATGTTTTTCTTTCTTTTGAAATCGACTTTATGATCCTTTTAAAATGGATATTGAATATTTATGAAAATTGTTAATAGAATATCAAGATGCAGGTTAGTATAAAATATATAAAATATGATCGTTTTACATTTTCAATGATATATTTGTTACAGGTATAAACTTAAGTAAAAGGTAGATAATCAGTGACTGGAATTTCTCCTGAGTAATATGGACATAGTAGCATATTTAGTGTTAACTCATAGTTAATACGCTAAAGGACAAGTAAAGGCATTCAAAAGTTTACAGGCCTGAGTCAGGATTTGTTTTGAAAACTGGAACCAACCTTTTTATATCACTACATGTCAACATTATATCATTACTAAAATGTAACTGAATTATATAGTAGGTTTTAATTTTTACCTATATTTTTTAATTTAAAGTTAACTATTCATACATACATAATATATGTATTAATGTGAAGTAGATATTTTTAAAATATTTGTTGTGGAAGTTTAATGATAGCTCAATATGATAAATTAAGATTATCACTATTGTAGTAGTTGGTGTTTTAAATGTGAATGAACAATTTTGTAAATGGTTTTATTATTTTTTATAAATAAAATTTGCTTGAATATTTAGTTACTTTTTAATGATTTTGTTAAGAAATTTATCAATTTTTAGTTTTTTTTGGAATACTTCAGAATTCATCTCTTCATGGTAATCTCTTACGTTTTTGCCTTCAAAACCAATAATGTATTTTCTACAAAATCCTCTTCAGAATTATAGCATGTAAAATAATAAGACTTCCTTTTCTTGTAGGGCTTTTCAGGAATTGTTACCCTTAATAGTATTTGATGAAAAAGGATCCACAATCGTAGAAATTCAATACAATTGCTTACTAAAGTTCTAAAAAGAACTATTATTTACGAAAAATGGTAAAAAATATCAAAATATAAAATGTCAGAAGTGTCAACAATATCAATTATTAGCTGATGTTAATACTAAAAAGTGATGTGTGAAACTGACTGCAATCTGACCAATCAGAAGTCTACAGAATTACCAACTTATATTCAAATCGCTCCTCCTAGTTTAAAAACAGAGTATAGTACCTTTAAGTCTATGGCTGTTTATGAAGTTATAGCTGAAGTGACAGATGACATAACCATGATTTCGAATTTCCAAAGTATATCAACTATAATTAGCAATAAATAAAGAATATGTGAGTTGTTTGGTTTAAAAATATTATTCCTACATTTTTATATTATTAACACACCACTAAACTTCCAGTAGGCAGTGATAGCCAACTAATTGAACCGTTTATTTTAAAAGTGACCTAAGTCCATTTATACTTAAACTAAGATATTCATTATTGATAATGTCTGAAGGCAGTGATGAAGGTAATTTTAATTAATTAGTATTTAACAAGTTAACCTCAGTTTTTGGACAATTGCATTATATGAATAATTAGTATTTTACACAAACCCTTAGATATCTCAATTTAAGTAACAAGTGATCTAAATTAAAAATTAAAAAAAACCGACTTCAAAAACGTGCAGATGCCGTCAGCACATCTTATCCAAATTTATATGTGGCCATTCCTGAGGTACCCCATTACTAACAAAAAAGAGAATCATATAAATAGGACAAGGTCGTAAAGCATTATCGCTAAACATACATGAAGAATTTGAGGAATTTCTCATGGACCCAGTTATCAGATTTTGACCAAATTTATATGGGACCACCCCTGAAGTACCCCCTTTCTAACAAAAAAAGAATCATTGAAATCGGACACCGTGTTAAAGAATTATCGCTGAACATACATAAAAAATGAAGAGTTTGAGGATTTTCTCATGGACCCAATTATTAGATTTTGACCAAATGTATATGGGACCACCCCTGAAGTACCCTCTTTCTAACGAAAAAAGAATCATTGAAATCGGACACCGTATTAAAGAATTATTGCTAAACATACATAAAAAATGAAGAGTGAGGATTTTCTCATTGACCCAATTATTAGATTTTGACCAAATATATATGGGACCACCCCTGAAGTACCCTCTTTCTAACAAAAAAAGAATCATTGAAATCGGACACCGTGTTAAAGAATAATCGCTGAACATACATAAAAAAAAAAATATCGCGACGAATTGATAACCTCCTCCTTTTTTGAAGTCGGTTAAAAATGGACCTAGGCCACTTTCAAAATAAACAGCTCAATTACTCCACCAATTGATGAAGCTGTGTTCATCTTATTGTAATCAGACCCTAGCAAAGTGCTAAGTCGGATTTAGATTCACGCTGCAAACATGTGGGGCCATCTAGCTGTGAATTTTGAAGTAGTATGCCTGAACTCTCCTAGTTCATCTACTAAAATCAAGTTGTTAAAAATACATTACCTTGTCAGGATTTCGTAACAATGACTGTTGATAAAGGGGCCCATTGAAGACTTCCCAAATCAGGCAACCTAAACCCCACATATCACTGGAACTAAGATACAAAAACAGTAATAAAATAAAAAATAAATCTTTCAGTTTTTACCATTTTGTCATAGATTTTTGTTTAGCTGGGTCATTTTTTTCTGGAGGACTATACACATCCAAGCTAGGTATTACTCTATATGGCAAACTTGTATCTGTTGTTGGAGACACATATTCTACACCACCCAACTTCCATTCTCCAGAAGAGTTTACAAAAACTGACCAAATAGTAACATTATTGTGGCGTAAATTGCCATCATTATTTAAAAATGATAAAGCTCTCTAAAAAAAAGTACATCTCTACAATCAGTCAGAAAATGTATTTTTTTTACTTACAGTAATTTGAAATATACCCCAAGCAATATACAGTTCTCTTTGTGGTGTTTCTAATGGCAATTTCTCAAGGTGCTCCTTCAATGGGTCTACTTGTTCAGTAGCTAAATATAAAACTTTTTCTGATTCCAAGCTATCTAAGTAAGTTAACACACTGGGGTGTCTTAAAGTTTTTAATCTTTTTACAGCTGCTTTTACTACTTCTAGCTGTGATTCTTGATTACTTTTTAAATCGAATACAAATACGGACACCTCCTCATTAGTTCCCTGTAACGCAATATATCAAATATCAACAAATTTATGATTTACTATAAAAAAAAATCAACACGTAGATACCTTCTTTTTTCCTTTATGCAGATTCCACACACTTTTATCTTCTAAACTTGGCACTAACTCTCCTATTTCAAAATTGAAATCTTTAGAAGGGTCGCGAGAAAAAAATGACCACATTTTGAGTGTATTTAATCACAAAATAATTAATCAGTGTGAGAAAAATGTTAATATAAATAATTAAATTTCTAACCTAAAATGAATACATCTACATCAATTTCTGTGTACGCAGTATACGCAACGTTGCCAAACGCACAAAACCCAGTCAAATGTTGTTAAGCCTAGATTATGCGAAGAATTGAAAACCTACTTAGGAAGAGAAACGAGGTAAAAAACGAGAAGATTCTTTTTCTTCTTGGTCATAGAAAAACTAAAAAGAGAAGGTTTGAATAATAGGCGGGAATTGTTTCCTTGTTTGTAGTTTATCATATCGCGCTTCACGCGCTGCGAGCACTAAATAAAAGCCGTTTTTACACCCATATGATAATTAAAAAATGAATAAATTTTAAAGAAATCAATAATTTTACTAATGCAATCTTTTAAATATCACTTTAATACAATATAATGATCAAATACAGGGATAATTGTTATAAATTTATAAAGTTAAAGCTACATTTGAATATTATGAGGTGGTGTAAATCTGGCTTTGCTAATAAATTTGGTTATGTTACACTAAAACATGACAGTCGTGGAAAATGTAGGTGAGTAAAATTTAATTAATCTTATTTTTAATTTAGTTTTAGTTAAATTTAAGTAATTTATAGGTGTAAAAATATACTGAGGTCCTTAACGATGTCATTAACTTATAATAAATTCACATTATCATGTGCTGCTCCAAATTGCAGAAGCAAATATTATTTACATTCACTTAATAAGAAATTTTTTACTTTTCCGTCCATTATTACCCTTAGAGAGAAATGGTTTGATATTTTAAATATTGCCTACACATCTAAAAAAAACTATAGTGCGAGGATCATTTTGACGAGAATGCCTTCACCAGCACTTTGCCTACTAAGCTCATTAAATTTGCCTTGCCTTTAGCGCCTTTAGAAGAGAATATTACTACTAATAATAATATTACATTAGATGAAAATTTTTCAAAGCTACCTTCATCAAATTCTCTTGCAAAAATAAATGTAATTAGTAATGTTTTGATTAAACCTTCTGTTTCGAATATAACTTCAGCTAAAAGAAAGCTAGATTTTTTTAATGATAGAATTGAATGTGTTGAGGAACCTTTAATAAAGAAACCACGTGTAAGAACTGGTATTTTAAATCAAATTAATGCAACTACAATTGGTAATTTAACTCCTAGAAAGAGAAAATTTTATTATATTAATCGAGAGCAGCAAAACAAAATTTCAAGATTAAAAAATAGTTTATTAAAATCTAAAAATACAATTAAGACTGCTTTAAACTTATCAGAAACAAATTTATTTAAAAATTTTAGTTTAATTTTAAGATACACACTGCGCCTTTATTTTTTTTTTGTTTTAGTTATTCCTGAGTATGGAGATTTTTGGAATGGATATTGCAACTACAATGAACCGAAATAGATGGGTGAAGGGATAGTAAAGTGGTTTAGTGCCAGAGTTACCTAACCAACAAAATTTCAAAACAACTGGTCTTTGTTATTGTTTTAAAATCATTTCTATACATGCCAAAGTTACCTATTCCTTAAAATTATGTAGTTCATGACAAAATTAAATACTTATTTGACAAGTGACTATTTTTAAATTTTTCTTAAACTTTGATCTCAACTTAATTAATTATTTTTTAGCAACTCTGGCACTGGAACACCCAATAGAGCTTAAGAATAATAAAAAAAAATTCAGGTAGTAAACTCAATTTATTTTTAATGTGTACTTTTTGTGATAATGTGTAATTTTGTGATATTAGGTAATTTTATAGATATAAAATAATAATATTAATAACAATAATAATCGTGATTAGTGTAAACGTATATTTTTAAATTAACTTCAACCCTTGAACATTTTTCAACATATTGTGAATATGATGTTTAATATAATGTAATGATATAGTTACCTATTCTAAATAAAATAAACTTATTACAAATGTTTTTATTTTTCATTTAAAACAAGTGACATTTTCCGTTTTTCAGCATTTACTTACAATAAAAATTCATTTTACTTATTGATTGTTTCAATTATTGTAAGTAAAAGCTGTAAAATAGGAAAATGTTACTTGAAATTACTTCAAATTTCATAAATTTTAAAGCCCGCCATTTTTTAAATCGCTTTACCTAGTAGTTTTCTACTTTACCGACTGTACCGAATTATAGTTCATCATAACGCGCTCAGCGCGCCACTGTCGAGGTCAAACAAACTTGTTACCAACTATTTACAGGGGAACTGGCTACCCTGTTCTTGGTCATTAACTTAGTGGAACAGATCGCTAAGAGTTTGTTTAATTTCGTATATGATCCTCGTCTGTATTATTTAAAAAAGAGGATCTGGCGGGAAAGCAAAAATTATGGTTATAGTAATTTGTTTACTAATTATTTAGTACACTACATTTTATGTTATTTACGAAAATTTATAAAGCGAGAGTAGCGAGATAAATATGGCTAATGAAGAAAAACTGAAGAAAAAATTACAGACTTCATTTAAATTAAGTGGCTTTAATGTTAGACGGTAAGTAAAACCATTGTATTTAAATGTAAAACGTAAACCGTCATTTTCTATGCTGTTTTTAATTCATTAACAAATTAGAAACTCCATTTAAGATAATGTATGGCTAATTACATTTTAAATAATACAAAAATAATTAACTTTTAACGCTCGTCTCTAGCAATAACTAACCAGGAGTAAGATATAACTCTTACAATTTGTTAAAAGTTTGTATGTGAAAGTAACTTATCTTATAGATAAGATAATTATAATAGTGAATCAATTCGTAAATAAATTATTTACCTATTTTGTAGCTGAATCATTCAAGTTTGGCTTGTCTCACAGTTTCAACTCAGTCTAAATGCCCATGATTTAGAGAACATATTTTTTTAATATCTTGTAATTGCCAACGTTTATTAGACGCCACACTAATTAAAAGGTATCTTTTACAGTTACCCACTTGACAAAAATATGATATACATGAGAGAAATATGGCTGCGAATTTGCTGAAATATACACAATAATTTTTAATTCCTTGCTAAAATGATCAAAATTCCACACTTTAAAATATTGTAATAGAATAGAACTTGAAAAAACATTACCAACCCTTTTCTACTCTATCAGTCCATACAAAACAAAATATAGACAGACTTGCATTTATAAGGTCTTTTCCTTTGCATCGAAAGTGTAGCACTGGGCTACGTTATTTCTGAAAATATTGTTCCATCCATACAATTTGTATAAATGGAACGATATTTTCAGAAGTGGTGTAGCTCAGTCCTACACTTTCGATGCAAAGGAAAAGACCTATATTCTCAAACCCACATCAAATGCATCTGAGATGTTGTCAATCTTTGATCATATGATTCAATATATGTAAATGTAGTAGAGGACAGATGTGTTTGATGTGGATAAACAAACACTGGAGATGTAAAAAATGCATCGAATCTGGATATTTAAATGCAGCATTTCTTAACAATGATTTATTTATTACTAGTAATATTATTTTACTGAATATGCATTTTTTTCCAGGGAATTCTGTCATTTGATATTAGAATCATTCAAGGAAGAAGGGATAGATTTGAATAATAATTCAGTTTTTGATACAATTATTAGTAATTTTTGTAGTAGTTTAGAGAACCAATGTCTATTAGAGAAAAGTATTGAAAAAGAAAATATAGAAAGAGCCATTCAAATATGTTTAAACCAGGGATCTGACAATACAGAATCAATTATAAATGTTATTAATGCTTTTGATTTTCCAAAACTGAGTTATAATCCAGAAAGAAAACAGTATTATATCGATAATAATAAATCATTAATATTGCCAGAAGCTGATGTTAAAGCCAAATTATTTTTTGAACGATACATAACAGTTTTACAAAGAACCAAAAGAAACTTTCAACAAAAAGGAGAAGATTTAAAATTACAAACTGTGGATTATTTATTAACTCTTTCAAAGGTTACTTTAGATAGAACCTTAATTTTAGGAGCTCTCTGTCAAATATCAGAAGGAAAATGGTTTTTAGAAGATATTACTGGAATTGTAGAACTTAATTTAATTCATGCAAAGTAAGTTAGTACAAATAATTTATTTTTATACCTATAATCATAACTTTTTAGGTTCCACTCTGGATTTTTTAATGAAAATTGTTTAGTTCTAGTGAATGGATATTATGAAGATAGAATTCTTCATGTATCTTCAATGGTATTACCACCTGGCGAAGATTATAAAAGTTCTAGGTAATTACAATAAAACTAGTTAACATTCCAGGTAATTACAATAAAACTAGTTAACATTCCAATTTGTTTCAATGATTTCATGAACAGTATAGTTGAGCACAACTTAGGAGATTTGAACTGAGAATTATAATTATTGTATATATTAGTTTTTTTTTTTTTTATTTTAGACCATCATTTGGAAATATAAATTACTTTGGAGGATCATCTAACATTCCTTTAAGAGATTCGAATAGGTTGAAAGAACATATGTTTCAAAATAAAGCCAAATTTATCTTATTTTTCTCAGATGTTTGGCTAGATCATCCTCAAGTAAGTGTTAGTAGGCAGCCATAATTTCTGTGTGTTAAAGGGGTTGCATAACTATTTTAAATTATCTAATTTGCCTACATCACATACTTTGATGTGGCCTACATTCCAAGTTGACATATTTATTGTTTAAATATATTTGTTTTTCTATGACATATACATTCACATCTGATTAGATGAAATAAAAAAAATCATCTCATACTTATTTTGAACTGCACTTGGCAACATTGTCAGTTTGATGGTTTGGTGTCAAATGTCAAAGGCACAAACAAAACAAAAATTGTTTTTGTTGTTGAACCAATATAATTATGGATACAAAGAAGCTACAAAAACTATGTATAAAAGATTTTATTAAAGATTCTTCTTCCCAACGATTGACATCTATAAAATTACCTCGAGATTTAAGCTTGGGTGGAACAAAACTTAATAAGAAAGTTTACAAACCAAATCTCAATGTAGTTAGAAACAAAACCAACATTGAAAATAAGCTAAGAGAAATAGAAAAACCGAAATTTAAACAACAGAAGACTCGTGAGAGAATTAAACCGAAGTTAGTACAGTCTACAGGAGTTTTTTCTGAAGGAATAGTTTCTGATCACCCACCTATTATTCATCCTATGAAAGTTAGGAAGCTAGATGTTCAAGAAAAAGTAAACTTGGTGACACCAAAGTCTGAAAAACAAAGTGAAATTAATGTGAAACATGAAAGTAATGAGTATGAAGAAATAAAAAGATACCTTGATGGCAATGATAGTGATTCGGATGAAAAATCAACTATTAAACCAATACCATGGAATGAATCATTATTTCAAAAGGTAAAAAATGAAACTTACCCCAATCTGCACTCAATCTGTAAAGATTTTCTGGAAATTGACACTATTAAATCAACGTTAAATTTGTGGCATCTTCCAGATACTTTTAATTTCAAAAAAGATGATAAAAACCAAAAAACTGATTATAGTTTGATAGATATGCCTGAAGGAAAAATTGGCAAAGCATGCATTAGAAAATCAGGCAAAGTGGATGTTCTTATTGGTAAATTGACTTATGAACTGGAATCTTCAGATTGGGCATCATTCACTGAACATTTGGTGACTATTAATATTGATGATAAAGCTCCTAGTGCTGCTGTATTGGGGAATTTAGAGCAACGGTATATTCTAAGTCCAGATTGGAACTGCTTAGTGTAGAAATATTGTGTGCAATAAATATTAAATCCTTGTGTTTAGCCGAGATCAAAGAATTGCAATTAAATTTTTAGAAGTTAAAATTGCTTCATCTGCATTGCTAAATGTAAATGTGTAATTTATATCTATGATATACCAGAATAGTATTATAACTTATATTATGTCCTAATTTATTATATTATAAATAAGTTTAGTTTATTAATAGTTTAATAACTCATTTTCTGTTTAAGAATTAATTACTGAAAATTTTTCAGTTATCAAATATATATATATAAAAAAAATTATTTATTTCCACTTTCTTCTTTTTTTATTGTACAATGTACAAATTAGATTAACAATATTTTAGGTATTTGAAAAGTTCGAATCCCTCTTTATTGGTTTTCAAGATATTGCTCCTTTAGCATTCGTTTTCATGGGAAATTTCATGTCAAATTCTCATGGTAGTGAAATGATGGATGTACTAAAAAAACATTTTAAAAGACTAGGAGAGCTAATTGTAAAATTTCCTGGCATTTCTAGTAATAGCCAGTTTGTTTTCGTGCCTGGAATGACGGACCCATGTACACCTCATCTAGTTCCAAGGTAAATAATATAAACTGAGTAAGCGTCTGAGAATGCCAAACCTAATAGAGATACTGCTATAGGTATATTTTTTATTTCAGATTTGGTTTACCCAGTTACATAACCAGTGACATAAAAAAGTTAATTCCAAAAGCAATCTTTGCTACAAACCCTTGTAGAATACAGTATTGTACAAGAGAGATAGTTATATTCAGAGGTGATCTTATGCCTAAACTTTTACAAGGTACTTTGAAAAAACCTTCAAAGGATGAAATACCAGAATGTGTAAGTTTAAGAAAAAATGTCTTTACATTAAATGAAATACTTTTTTTTAATATACAAAACCTGCATAAAAATACCTATTTATTCCTTTTTTTGGCTAAAACTTGCAGTCTATTATAAGTCCTCCTCTTCTAAGAAAAATCGGCTTAAAGCTAAGTGTTTCTCTTCTTAAACTTGTATTTTATATTATTAGTTTTCTCATACTGCATATTATCTACTATACTGGTTATTGATGGAAAATATTTTTTAATGAATAAATTTGCTGATATTTTAAATGATAAGTGTCAATTTTTTGATATTTCTTATATAACTAAGGAAAATCCTCCAGGGATAACATTACTTTCGTTCATCTCGTCAACCAACCCAATTATAGTCGACAAGAGGCGAATTAAAAAGATTTGAACAGAAAAGATCCTTCAAAAATTTAAAGTATTAACCTGAGGGGCTAAACACTGACAAGAGTTTCAGTAAGCTTCACAATTAGGTGGGTTCTAAATAGATATGGCAATTGCTTACAACTAAAATTTTCAATAAATTCAATATCACTTAGTTTAATTCATATGCTCATGTAGATAATATATTTCTAGAAAAAAATATATTTTTTATATTACAGATAAGACGCACAGTAATCAGTCAAGGCCACTTGAGTCCTTTGTCCTTAAATGCTTTGACAGTGCAATGGGATTTTGATTATTGCTTAAGATTATATCCCGTACCAGACTTGGTCATTATAGGTGACAAATGTGAGTCATATGAAGGAAATTACAAAGAATGCCACGTTGCTAATCCTGTAAGATATTTTCAAATTAGAATGAATAACAATTTAAAATGATAAATTTGAAATGCACTCATTTATGATTTTATTCTTTTTTAGGGTCCTTTCTGTGAAAGTGGGTTCCAGTTTATATCTTACTCACCTTTTTCCAATACTGTAGATGACTGTAGTTTATAATATATAAACATTGATTTTGATTAAGTTTTGTTTTGTTTCTAGTAAATAAAATCCTTGACAAAGTGACAAATTTAGAAAGAAAAGATACAAACAATATTTTAAGTAGTTTTATTATTTCCAGTATTTTTTTATTCAAGAACAGAGAAAAATCCTGAAAAATAATAACAAAAAAGTATTACTCTTTCCATATTCACACGTCTGAATAATAAAAATAATCTCTTTCTTGTAACAAGTCACACTCACTCAAATAATTTAATACCTGCAAAAATAAACAAATAATATACAATGTTCAGATCGAACGATGCAAGCGGCTAAGCTAAGGTTTCAATAATCATTATTACATATTAAATATCACACTTTCATCTTACAAAATAACAATATTTATATAAAATTCACAATATTTACAAAGGACGTAATTGAAAAACTATCTCTTGTATAAATTTTCTTTAGAATAATAATGGGTAACTCGTCATTTTGTTTGATTCACTGTTTTTCCTAAAATGAATAATGAAATTAAAAAAATTATCAATTGTCAAGGTTTTCCTGATTTTTCAAAAATGTTTCTAAAGTAGGCCTTAAAAAAAGAACCCTTATATCATAACGTACAATTCAATTGTCAGTTTGGATTTAATTAGAAGCCCCGAGAAGTTATCACGGACATGACACGTATCTATCTTTGTCAGTGATGGCGAGCTTTAAAAACATTTTTTGTGGTATTTTTATTGTATAAAAACTAACAAAATACGAATATGAATAATGTCGTTACAATACAGTATACAAATATAAAACTTGACTTTTCCACTTGTTTAGTGGATGAGAGATGAAAATCTTGTACATTAAAGATTAGAAACTACTCTGATGGCAATAAGTCGTCTTGTTACAGATAGACACATTGTTGGTGACTAGGGGGATGGTCCCTGCATGATTTATGCTTATATGCATATTTAAAACTAAGACATGTTTGTTTTATGTCTCCTCTTGTTGGTCAATGTACTGGCAAATGTCGGTTATGAAATTTACTGTAGAAATTACGTGACTTTTCATAATTATTCATTTACACAATTTTTAATATTGTAACAGAAAATGTAATAGAGTCCTATTGAAAAAAGACAGTGACATGTGCATTATTTGAAAGATATCAGTAGAAAACGCAATGAATGGAACAAAATGATTTAGTTTACAAAAGTTTGGCAAGATTTGGAAAATAAAAATCATAGAGGTCATTTAAGAAATAAGATACAGCAGTAATCACCATTTTGTCTACCACAAAACAGTCGTTTTATTCCGATCGTTTGACCACGGTGTAACCAAAAAATCTAAAAATTAAATGAAACGTTATACCTCATTGTTTTTCTTCTCGACCATTTTTTTTTAATTATGAATTTAAATAAAAGACTGAGAGAAAACAAGCAAATATTAGGGTATTTATAGACACAAAATACAGACATCATATCATATTATACCTTAGATCTGTATTTATAAACAGAACTCGGCTAAGTCCGATTCACCGAGTCGTCTTTGAACGCAAATCAAAGTTCGGTTATAACTTCTCTGTTCCAGGTGGTTCTGGTGTTACACTGGAATTTAGAGATGTACAGTGGCAAATCTGTAATTTTTAAATACATTTACGGGTTTGTTACTACCCATCTATAAACTCACGTGATATAATCGAACTTCGATTTTCGTTCAAGGACGGCTCATCTGAGTCTGACATGGCTGAGATCTGTTTATGGACCTTAGTTCTAGTTTTATATTTTGGCTGTCGTAGAACTTATAGGTTTGTTCCAACAGCGCCTTTCTGATGTGTCTCTGACTCGTGCATGGATGCATTCGTAAACTAATCACTGCGCATGTCAGTCCGTTTATTCGTCCGTTGTTTAATCAGCGACTTGTCCTTGTTGGAACGCAAAATGCAATGGAATTTGACAAACCAAACATATGTTTGGTCAATTGGTATTTTAAAATTATTTAAAATACAACAACATACATTTATTTAGCTGTCTCTAACCCTCTATATGAATATATAATTTTGAAACATTAAGATTGTTTATTTTTATTAAAAATAAGTACGCATTTTACAAAAAAAAATCCGCCCACAAGATAAGAACAAAAATTATTCATTTCAATTAAAAGCAATAGAACCCCAAGCCACTCCAAGCTAACTTAAAATCCCAACAATTACAAAAAAATATCACGAACGAGAAGAGACGTTCAAATGCGCATGTGCTGATAAATTGTACAAGCAATGAAGCTCTGATCGTTTTGACATTCCGCCGACTCATTCATGTACGAATCAGAAAATACGTTGGAACGTTTTACTGACAGTTCATCGGATCATCCGTGGCTCTGTAGGAACGGACTATTTTTAATGCGCATGCGTCTGACGTCCTTCTGATGATCAGATTCGCTGTTGGAACAAACCTTATGATAACAGGATGCATTATGTCGATGGTCAAGTTGACTGATATAATCAGATCGGTGATTGAACAATTTAATCGTTTCGAAAATTCATTGTCATACAGACTTTATAAACTGTGAAGTTATTCCCAAATTGGTGTATTATTTTTTTTTTTAATATAGTTTATCCATATTTTCGATTAAAAAATAATATAAATATGGACCATCTTTGAGGTTTGACATTATGTTAAGTCTCAAAACATTGATATTAAATAGGTAGGGCCCAATTACAATAAGAACACCGCTACGTCATAACTTTTATTTCTAATTTCAAATATATATGTCATCTACAACTATCAATAAAGAATATGTAAGTTGTTGGGTTTAAAAATATTATTCCTACATTCCTATAATATTAACACGCCACTAAACCCCCAGTAGGCGGTAATAGCCAACGAATTACTCCGCCAATTGATGACGTAGCTGTGTTCTCCTTGTTGTAATCGGACCCTAGTGGCAGACTATTTTTGTGTGCAAGTGCAATAACAACTAACAATAATTGACCATTCACTAGACAGTTTTGTCGACCGTTCTGACTGACCCTGACCGATTAGTCATGACCGGTCATCTCTTACGCTAGACATTTTCAACCAGTCCGATGACTTGCTTAAGCACTCATAAATAATAACTTTGGTCAATTAGATACCATCCTTGTCTTTAATTGACGGTCTTGCTTGCTAAAAGGTCGTGAGCAGACAAAAATCTCGGCCCCAAAACCAGCCAGCCTTCACTTTTGTAACGATTACTATTCTGGGATTCATTTGATATTTAGGTAAATTAAATGTTATATTTTTAGTGTAATATTATTCAAAAGTTCTGAATTTTGATAGTACTTACTTTCTCTTTCGTATTTCCTAAGCGCTTCTTCCCTCTCCATAGCATCGAAGTACCACAATGTTATTGCATACCGAGTGTTATATGCAGGTTGTACTTCATGTGGATTTCTTCTATCTGACCAAAAAAATAACAGTCTATCGAATAATGGTTCTATATCGGCTACCTAAAACGGAATGAATTTATCAATGACATTTTGAAATCTGCAATTTGTACAACTCTGGAAATGTCATGTTCGTAAGAGAGAGTATTATCACAATTATTATTAATTAACTTTGTCATTCAATTTAGACTTTGTCAATATCTTTGAGGGCGATAAAGCTGTTAAAAAAATAATTTTAGAAAATGAATGTAAAATTATGCCACGTCTGTTTATTTTATTAATTTGTTAACAAATTTTTTATTTTATTATTTTGTTTTCCTTTCCCCTAGGGTTCGTAAACATTTTTACAAAAACTGAAAAAAACAATTTTAATGGGTTATTTTAACATCAATTTACATATTATAAAAAGGTAAGCCTCAAAATATTTACCTTGTCTTCCCGCCATCCCTCTGGGAATATCCTTAATAGCCCGCCGCTGCGTTGCACGTTCCAATTTAAATTAAGGTAGTAAATTGCCGTTATACATCTACCATCTCTATTTGGATTATCTACATGCTTAACGTAATGAGATCCTAGTCCAGGATAGCAAGCAACCATTGCCTGAAAGAGAAAAACAAACTTCAAATCTTCAAATTAACGATTTTGTGCTATAATTAAAATAAAAAATACAGTCACTTCTGTGCGGTACTCTTTTTGTTTCGTATATCTAGCTAGAGTAATATACTGCGAGCAATGTGAGTATCGTAATAAAATACGAGAGGTATCAGGAACCTTGACAATCTTATAAGGCAAGAAACATGTTGTTGCAGTGTTGCTTCTTTTGTTAGATTAGGCCTTTTTAGGCGACAGTGTCCGATAAGAAAACCTAATGTTATCCTAATGATTTGTACTTTTTGATTCAGTAGATCTTTCGTACATTTAGCCAACTGTTTTTTAATTACCTCTGGCCTATCTCAATCCTAAATAGTTGCACCATTTCTAAAACTCATTGTGCATCCTTAGAGGTGTGTCGTTCGCGAACGATTCGTTCAAAAAGAACGAATCAGTGCACTGACTCGAATGAATTAATTCCCTGTTTTTAAAAGATTCGAATCTTTTTTGAGTCAATTGTTCGACGGCTCTGTGATCGATCAAGAACGCCCAATTCCGAGTTTGGTTGTTTCGTTCATTCGGATCTGATTCGAAGATTCGGTATTTTAAATCAGCATCGGCAAATCGGTCGCTTTTGTTCTACGTTCTACAGCATAATACAAGAACTCGAACTTACAGGCGGTGGCGGTATGTGTCTGTAATGTTTTTCTCACTTTACCAGAGGTGTATTAAACTTAGGTAAACAATTTATGCGCGTTGTCTGATAAATAAATTTAAATCAAAGTAAATAAGTAAAGCAATAAATGACGAATCATATATCTATAATTTTTCGTTAGTTTTGGCTATATTTAGCATTAAAAAAAATTGTGTTACTGTTGTTTATCTTAACGGACAAGGATGAACCTACTATTATAGTATTTAAATTCCCATCTGTCTTCTTTTTATGAAATATTAATTCGCTATACTTTAAAATATCAAATTAAAATAAAACCGGTATTAATTATTTTACTTAAGCATCTCACCACTCAAATCATTACATTCTTTCTTACGCATTACAGACTGAACGCACTCGACGACCTAGTAAATAGGTAGTTCTCAAATTCGTAAACGTTCGGTTTGATTTCCTTCGACGGATCGGCGGAATAACATCGTTCGTGGTTCGCTAAAGTGAATCACTTGAGAACGAATCTTTAAGAACGAATCTTTTTAGGTGAATGAATCAAATGAATTAATTCAGTAAAAAGATTCGAACTTCCCACCTCTAGCATCCATTATTTAATGAGTGCCTTACACATTGTTTTGGTGACTCCACAGATTCCAGCTCAGCCTTCTTCATTGGTTTTTGAACGGTAGCGAATGTCCCTGTTTCCAAAATACTTAGGCTGGTATTTTCCGCGTTTCTTTTCAATTTGTAAGTGGTTGCACATGTATCGGTAGACATGCCTAGAATCATCCTTTTTTACTTGCAGGCCTGGCCTCATATGGTCAACGCCATATAGTTGGATTATTGTGTGTTGTTCCTGCATTAGTCTGTGAATGACGGACCTGGTTTCTCCTTGTATGAAGATGTGCAGTGATGTAAGATTTAATAGTACCTCCATTTCTGCACTTAGTGTAGTACGCATGACTCCTGTGGCACTGAGAAAGGCTGAATGTCCGTATGTTGACCTATTGTACTTGACTGCAAAGTTTTGGTTATCCACGCCACTGCACGATAGATTATCATGGGCTTTATCATCATTCTGTTAAACCGTATGGTCAGTTTGGGGTATATACCCAGTTTATCCCGCATATTCTACCAAAAGCCAGTGCAGCTTTGTATTTTTGATATGTTGATTCCACAGAGTTTCGTTGAAGATGACTCGGAAGTATTTGGTTTCTGTACCAAATGGAATACCCATTTTGTTTAGTGCTAGTGATAGTCCTGTAGGTACTCGTTTTTTTGGGTGTTAATAGACAATCGTTTCTTTTTGCACCAGTTGTTCACTTTGTTTAGAGCTGATAGAGCACGCTCCTAGACTAGGCCTGCAAATCGCCCTCTGATAATAATTGCTATAACGCCCGCGTATCAGTAGCCTCTTGTGGAGAGTATTGAGGTCGTCCACTACAACTGACCACATTATTAGAGATAGTACTCGTTTTTGTAGGCAGCCTGCGTAACTTTTGTTATTAATAAAATATGATAGCTCAATCATTTACTGTTACAATACAAAGGCAATAACAACATGACGAGCTTAAATGAAATAGATGGTAATTCAGTGCTTATTTTTTCGAGTTAGGTATACGACTAGTATATAAGTTAATAAAATGGCAATGGGACAACAGCCAGTCGTCCGGGTCGTCGACTAGAACTAGAAGATATGGTGGTGGGATATTAGCCGAACCGAATATCAGTGACAAAGCTAGCGATAGCGGGGATATCGTAGTTGCCACATGTTCGCTGAGAAATCATGGTTATGCCTAATACAAAATAATAGGCATTATATATAGTAAAGAATCGAGCTAGAATGAATTTGATTGGAAAATTTTTGTTTAAAAAACAGGATTGAGAGTTAACAAAAGAATCGCATAGCTCTTGAGAACACTAGGGTTTTTGTGTTGGAAATGACAAAATCATAAATGTTCGTTGGCATTCTCGTTAACGATCCTTACCACAAAGCATGTATCTTCTAGAGACCCCACGCCAATGTTAAACTTTTAAACCAAATTAGCGCCACCTTGTGTTTGGAGCTGGAACTAAAATGACAATTGACAGATGGCGGTAAATTCAAATTGTAATTTTTAGGAGTAGGTAGTAGTTTTAAATTAAATTTTAAATGATTTCCACATAAATTATTTTATCAAATAAAGTATGGAACTAGTAAGTTCGAAACTTTTATTTTACAAAATAATTTAGGTCGATTATACCAAATTTGAAGAATTAATTTGTTATAAGGGGTCTAATGTGGAGAGTTGGTTCTGCATATTTTTATTAAATAAATATAAGATATATCAATAAATAATAAAATAGAACATTCTTAAAATATGTTTATTAATAACTTAAATAAATATTATTAGATAAAAATAAATACAAATAATAATACATATTTAACGAATACTTACTTGGAGCAAATAGATATATAATCTCAAATCTTTAAAATACCTATCAATAATTTAAATGTGAAGTAGAGACTAGGATATTACATTTTATTAACACTAAAGTTATATATTTTATAAATGTCTTTTTAACTGAGGACAAATGTAATATAGGTATTGTATTAAAAGGTGAATCCTTTTAACTATTCATTCAATGATAAATAGATATTTTCCTTCCAAATACAGATGGTGGTATTACTCTTTTATGTGAAAAATGATTTCGGAATCTAGTCCAGTGATAAATTGATTATCAATTAGTTGTCCCCGTTTGTCTTTTTATGATGCAGATGCATGGTGAATATATGGTGAATCAATGAAGTTTTTCTCGAAGTTTTCAACGTAGCACCAAAATTATTGCAAAACACAGTAGGAAATAAAAAAGCGAAACATCACAATTTTGCAAATAACTAAGACGAAACTATAAACAGAAACCAAAAGCCAAAGCCAACAAAAAATCACTAAAATCAGACGGAAAAATGAAACTAACCAAAAGAACATAAATAAATACACGTCACATCTTTGGAGTCTTTGGTTAAGTTTTTCTCCCATAAGGCTTAAAAATGGAGTAAGAAATCATAATCTGGGGGTCGATTCTCGACTTGTAGGAACCTTTTCCTATAGGAATTTGTGACACTTTCCTATATGTAGGAAAATGTCATAAATTTTCGATGTATATAAAAATGTCAAAAATTTCTATAGGAAAAAATTCCTACGAGTCGAGAATCGACCCCCTGGTTGGAACATCAGAGGGTTCGGCATTTATGGTAAAATTGTAGCGTGTGTACCTCATACTTATAAATAGACGGGTATACTAAATTTTCTTAAAAACAGTAAATTTAACAAAAAATGTCAATATGAGTAAGAAGCTAATCGACATAAAATTCATACGTGTGAGAATAATCAACTCTTAAACTGAAGTCGTGTTTATATGACATTTTTATGTATGGTTTTATTGTTGTTATTAACAAGTGACTGTCTAAAGCGCAATTTTTCATTGGAAAAACCCACGTTTCATAATAAAGGGGAAACACTGATTTTATCAATTAAAATAAAACGGAACAATATCTAATTTTATAAATAGCAAAGTGTGAAACAAATTAAAAAACAATATTCTTAAAAATATTTGTAGGAAATTCAATATAGAATAACAATTATTACGTCCGAAAGTGAATAGTTTGAAATATTTTTATGTTTTAAATACACTTCAATAATACCAGTATTCAACGGCACTAAATTGACTAAAAGTTAACATTAATATCTTGTCACTGACTTGTTTGACAAAACTGATACAAGGGTGTGGGGTATATAGTATATGCCGAACTGAAAAAAACAAAGAAAATAACACTGTTATATTAATTTGATAAATTATTTAAGCCCAATCAAAAAGATGACGGAATGAGCTCATCTATATAAAGTTTACAACACAAACCACAACAAAAATTAACTGCTGATTCAACAACAAACAAATTCGTGATGACACACGAAACTTACTCCTTCGTTTCAGTGTTTGAAAAGGTCACATTTTTGTGTCGCATGAGACCTTTTCGAATCAAACGCAGTAAAAGGGTACTAGTTAATGAAGTTCTAGGAGTTCCAGCGTACCCAATGGTTTGCGTTCAATAAAATTATAGAAAAATCGCATAAAACGAAAATTACCGAAATTGTCGTTTGTCTTTTTTCAAATAAACAATTTAATTACGGTGACTTCATATCAACGATCTTATGTTTTCCCGAACGATAGTTTGGATTTCGTCGGTAATATATTTGAAATGGGAGCGTTTGCCACATATTTCATCTCAGATCATTTTCAAGTTCGTAATCCATCTTAAATGAGCCGTTAAATTATCGGACATCTGTTAACTGAAGTAATTGTT